ACTGGATGATCTTTTGAGGTCCCTTCCAAGATTCTGTGATTCTATGATTGGAACTGCTAGAACTACTCCTCCCACCTCATTTTACAAGTTTTCAGCTAGGCTTGGAAACAGCATGCAAGGAGTCAGTACAAAGCCATTCTTTCCTCTACCTCAGCAGAAACCAGTATCAAAACGTGTAACATTTCAGAAGAAAGAAGAAAGAATTCAGTGACAAAGACTGGAACAACTCAAAACAAACACATGAAAAGTGGTATCATCTAAGCAGCCCTACTCTCAACTACTGCACAAATACCAATTGAACCTCCCCTTCTGAAAGAAAACAGATGGATGAGAAGTCTTTTCCCAAAAGGAAGTCATTTGCTTATTTACTTAGGGGCATATCCAATTACATTTCATGGTCTGTATCAGTCAACCATGAACAAATGTCCTTAAACGATCACTACAAAAGCTGTATATAATGGGAGGAATGTTAAAAAATTTCTAAAACTTTAGAGACCATATAGACTTAACTAAATGGCTGAAATTAGTCAGAGAATTGGGGTAAACAGTGAATGCGATTCTTTTAGGATAGCAAATCCCAGCTAATTGGTTAGATTAACATTCAGAGTCTTACATCTCTCAGTTTAGTGACCTCTACATTACAAGTCTTACGTCTCAACTCTAACAATGCAAAAACCTCATGACTGAGTTACCACTCTATGATCTGAGCAGTAAGTCCTTATAATTGCTACTCATTATTAAGGGATGCACAGCTCTTCTGACAAGAGCAATACGAGCATTACAGGACCTTGACCTAACTCCTAAATGTTCTCACTTTGCAGTTTTTGCCACAAGTTGTCAGAACACCAACCACTGCTCAAAGATTCATTTCTCCAGTGTTCAAAGACATCAACTTATTTACGTTATTTCTGCAATTGCCTGACACATCTATATTCTTTCTACTAGATCTCCAGACTGTTCCAGCCAGAATGAATTCCACTCACTAATGGAAACCAAAGACTCTGAAACCACACGCTCTGCAACCCTTTCCTTGAGTGGAATTCTTCAAAGTTTGATTTTAAATTTCCTCGAGGAAGAAAAGACTTTTTCAGAATTTTATTACCTGCATTCACTGGTCATGAGAGCACAAAACAACATGAAAGGTATATACATTTTTTACTAACTTCCCAAAGTAGAAGAGTTCCTAATTCAAAGGAACATAGGTTACTTTTGCAGAGACCAGAGTTTTTAACACATACTAGTAATGGTTGAATTTTTAGACATGCATTTTATTTCAAGGACACTGATGTTCTGTGTCAGTGTTCTGATATTAAATGCAGTACACAGTAACACACCCCTTTAGCCCAATTCTGGTAAACACCACTGACCCAAATTCAGGATCTCCTATAGCAGTGTCAGTGTTTGCTCAGGTGTCCCTCTGTTGAACTCTGATGAAAAAGATTGTTTAGGAAGAGAAGAGAATGTTCCTTCTTCTGAGTGACAATACTATCAGGGATGCTGAAGAAAAGCCCCGAGAATATGTAGAACAGGTTACAGTGATCGAAGTTAGAAAAATAATGTAATCTGAAACTGTAAGTATAGTCCCAACACAGCAAAACAGGCACACTTTCCTTGAAAAGCAGTCATTCGTAACTTATTCAGGTGTCTCAGCCAGGCATTTTCTCTGTTTATCTCGTTCTTCAAGTCTAGCAAAGCTACAATGCAGTAACTGAAAATGGATAGCCAATTCTGTTGTGGCCTGTGTGCTCCAAAACCTGGGAACAGACTAAGGGGACTTTTGAAACCTTACACAGCTCCAAAGTGTTCCCATGGACAGTTTCCATCACCTGAAGTCACCAGACAGACATTCCATGCTGCCTTTCCACCTTCAGAGTCTGAATTCAAACTTCCAGGCCACGTGAATTTGCAGATAGCATTTAGAAAGCATTATTATTTACTATTATATACTATTAACCTGCTGTTGTTCTTCCTATTGTTTGCACTGAAATATTTTCTTGTTTTATTTCATGTAACATTTCAACCTGTTGGTATTCTTTTATACAGTGACTACACTGACATTCCTAGAAGTCCTGAATAGTCTCAGCTTGTCATAACTTTATGTGAAGAGTATCATAAAAATGACCAAGAACTGATGCTAAAACACTTGATCCAGAGCATCGCAGCCTTATCCCTACACTAAGTAATTTAAAGCTGCCCCACTTCTCACTC